AGCAACCACACCAACTAACGTAAAAATATTTTATAACTGGTTACTAATTACTCCTACATTTATTTATTACTTGATTTAAGAAATGCGAACAGGTCGATTAAAATGAACAACGAATATCTATACACGTACATCATTCCTTAACGACATTAACTGCTGCATCCCTGGATCTCCGTGAAAGGGCAGAGATAGATCGTTATCTGCTGTCAGTTGGAAAATATATTACAGCCATATGGCCCGATTCTCCTTATTATATTAAATTTCACGAATACAAATCAATTCGATAATTTCACACTGCGGAATTACGATTCTATAATTCATATTTTTAATCATAATATAGGATGACATTTTCCGTTATAATGAAATAAATACCCTGGATACCAATAAAAGTTTTTTTTGGGGAAAAATGTTACCTAGGGCACTGACATTCCTGTGTTAATTAAATTTTAGTTATTATCAGTTTTTTTATAGTGTGTTCACGAATAGAGTTGGAACAGAGTGAAAATATTTTTATTTTTAATTTTGTAGAAAAAAGTCATTCTTGTCATAAAATATGTTGTTTTAAGATAGCTAATATATACAGGGTATCCTCTACTATAGTAACAACAAAGTTAGGATGTTCTGAGGACACCCTGTATACAGGGTGTCCCTGAAAAGGATGGACAACGCTTTACCGCAGGTTCCTTGGATGAAACTAAGACTATTTAGCCTAACTTACCTATATACAAAAGTACACGCCTACTGAGATATAGCTTTCTAAATATAGAATAAATAATCTATTTTTTTCAAATAATTTGAAAACTATTTTTCTTAGAAACTTCAAATTTTGAACACATATTTTTTCATAAAATGACAACGGAAATAAAAAATTTGATGATAATACAGGAAGTTCTCTTTCTAGTGCCTATGCGCCACTGGCTATCCCGTAATTTTTTTGTGTGTACGCCAGTGAGGCCAGAATTTATATTTTTAAAAATAAGCACTATTTTAGAAGATTTTCTTGCTCTTACAAAATTTTGATATCGTTTGTGGATTTCGAGTAAAATTGGAATTTTGTATACATTAAATACAGTCAAAAATTCCGATTTGTAAAAAATCAGTTATAACTACAGCCTCAAAGCAGGGAATAATAATGAAAACACGACATATTAACAAAAATAACTACACATTTTTAGTCTTAGTATTATCAATCAATAAGATAAAAAATCAACACTTGTAACCAATAATGAGAAAGTCAACATTAACATTTTAAATAAACCTAAATAAAACTGTTGTCCTCAACGCTCCCCAAAGGAAATAATTACATGGTTTTAGGTCCGGGGATCGAGGTGGACATTTTAAAAGGACATTATTTCCTCTATCTATCCACCTGTTAGGATAGTAACCTGTAATAACTTGTCTTTTAATACTCTTTTAAAGGAACTTTTCGAAAGCCGACCTCTGCCGCTAAACGCCTTGTATTTACTTGCAGAATTTCTTCGACTCTTTCCAAAATTTTTTCCTCCAGCTGAATAGTTCCGGCCATACGTTGTCCACAAGTTAATGTTACAAGTAAACAACGTCCTGTTTTCCGAAGGCGTCTCTCCGCAATAGCAAATGTTTTGTGATTTGGAATTCTTCGATTAGGAAATCTTTCAGCATATAACATATCAGTTTGTTCAGCAAAAGTATAAATTGCAATAAAAAACAAAGTAAGCTAAAATTAAATCACACCTAGCTTGACACTGAACCTTTTAATTATTGTTATGAATTTGTTCCTTTGTTATATGGCACCTCGTACTAGACTGTTCTAATTATCTTAAACTGATTTTATATTATTTAATGTGTAAAAAATGTCAATTTTACTCGAAATCCACAAACGATATCAAAATTTTGTAAGAGAAAAAAATCTTCTAAAATGGTGCTTATTTTTAAAAATATAAATTCTGTCGTCATTGGCGGACAGACAAAAAAGTTACGGGATAGCCAGTGGCGCACAGGCACTAGAAAGAGAACATCCTGTATATATATTCTCACAAAATTCTGTATTTACATTGGCCTTATATAAAAAATATGTGTACCAAATTTGAAGTTTCTAAGAAAAACAATATTCAAATTATTTGAAAAAAAACTAGGTTATCTGTTCTATATTTAGAAGGCTATTTTCATCAAAGGAACTTGTGGTCAGGCGTTGTCCATCCTTTTTAGAGACACCCTGTATATTAAATGGTTATTTATGAAGTGATTAACTGACTTGGTATATTATTAATGATAAAATCAATTAATATACTTCTAATCAGTTCTTAATAGGGGACACCCTGTATATGTGAGGCCACTTAAACTGCATTATTGTACACATGAACAGCAGTAGAAAATTTTAACAAGATTTTTTTTTTTTGTTCATAAAATGAAATATAAAAAGTTTTCTCTTTTCTCAATTCCATTCGCAGACATGCTGAATGTTTAACTTAAATAGTTTTCATAAAATATTTATTTAAAACGTACATTATTTCTTTAACGGATAGTTTTTCAAAAAAAAAAAAAATTCAATTCAAATTACCGTATCGGATAGGCATTTGTGAAAATTTGGATTATATTATTTAAAGATAAATACAGAATCAATTCCATGATTTCGATATACAAATAATTCCAGCTTATGGTTCATTAACAGAGAGAAGTATGCCTTCTATGGCCTATATTACAGAGATCCCCCTGAGCAACGTCATCACCTTTTTCTCTGTAATAGGTTGGTTAGCGGCACAGGTGGATTGATTTCCTACCGGAAGAAGTACAAGGGGCCCAATGGGGCCTAAGTGCTGTAGCTTTAAAAGCTACACTCCCTAAATTCCAGATTCCAGAGAAAAGTATTTGTGCTGGCACTTCATTGCGATTAAATCCGGGGTATTTTAGATTTACGCTAAAGCAACTAACTGTCCTATTGGCTATTGTTGGTACTACCACTTAGCAAATAATAAAACATAACAGAATGGCCAGTATAAACCTAATGAAAATTCCTAATTTTGAAGCTTCCAATAAAGACGTCATCAATTCCCACTTTAATAATATTGGGTGTTCCAAAATTTACACAAGATTTGAATTTTGCGCCAGTTATGTGGTAAAGTATTACCAGCGAAAAAAAGAGGCAGTGTAAAAATGGAGCGCTACAAGAAAGAATAACGCGATTTCATTGTTGAGCAATATTTAAAAAATAGAGAAGGTATAGTGCGCAATTTTCGTACAAAACATGGTTGGAATAGTGATTTAGCTTCATCAACTGTGAAGAAGTTAATGAGAAATTTAGGGAAAGTGGATGAATTAGTGGTCTTAAACACTCTGGTCGTCCTTCATCAAGTCGTTCAACACAGAACATCGAAGCAGTTCGTGCGAGTGTTGCTGAGAATCCAGGAACAACAATTCGGCACTGTGGTCAAGAACTGAACCTTTCGAGAAGCTGGTTCTTACGAAAGATTTGCATCTTCATGTTTACAAAGTTCAATTGACTCAAGAACTGAAGTCTACTGACCACGCAGAGGAAAGAAAGTTCGTTGATTGGATTATGGAACAACAAGTGAATGTGAATTTTTCGAACAAAATCATCATCAGCGATGAGGCTCATTTTCATCTTGATGGCTTTGTTAATCGACAAAATTGTCGCATTTAGGGTTGGTTCAGCAAATCCTCGAGTGAGTGTTGAGAAACAAATGCATCCACAACGTGTCACTGTTTGGTGCGGATGTTGAGCTGGAAGCATCATCGAACCATTGTTCTTCGAAAATGTGGCTGGTAAAGCAATAACAGTTAATGGTGCTCGCTATCGGGACATGACAATCCAATTTGTGTGCCTAAATTGCAAGGTATGGATGTAGACGACATGTGGTTTCAACAAAACTGTGGCTCATGCCATACAGTTCGAGAAACAATTCAGTTATCTGAATAACTGAACTTTCCTGTTTTGAAGATCAGATTTGGCAGCCCCGATCATGCGATTTAACGTGGATGGACTTTTTGATGTCTAACGTTTATGCCAACAAACCCACGACCACCTTCGCTGAAGGAGGAAATTGAGCGGTATATCAACGAAATCGGGCCGCTTTTATGCAAAATGGTTAAGAAAAATTTCGACAAAAGAGTGTGTAGGTATGTGCCAATAAACCCGCAAAGGCCGGTACCCGATATGCTATTCCATACATAACCCTATACTGTATATTTTATGAATCAATAAAAAATTTACAATTTTTAATTAAAAACCTGTGTTTTCTGCCAAAATTACTCCCTATGTGAATTTTGGGTCATCCATTATTTTTCGGCAATTTCAGTCAAACATGATAAACAAAAAACTAATTCTGCTATTTAATGACTTTTATATAAATCCTTCATGTTAATATAACAATTCAAATAGGATTTTATTTATGGAAACAAATATCCTTAAAAAAGAGTTATACCTAAGCAATAAACATCTTTAAAGAACAGAATGAGAATATTCCCCTGACTCATTTTAATATGATTTACGCAGTTTCAGTGAACTTTCAGGGCGTATTTTGTGTTCTCGCACAAGGAAATACATCTACATGTGAATGCGATGGTAATTTACAAACGTCTAAACAGATACAATCTGAAATGTTGGGACAAGAAAATATTATCCACAGGAAACTCGGATCCTAGATGTACAAAGCACAGGAAGACACACTCGATGCACTAGGACAGTAATTCATATAAACGAGTAGGTAATAGTATATTCGAGAGATAGTCAGCGAATTTTCATCTCAATTGTCTCGTGTATGGTAGGTACCTATTTCTGCTGTAGGTCTGAATTTGTGCAACCTAACAATCCAGGAATTTTTTGATACAGCGTAAAAAGATATAGAATAAATTTAAATGTGGGGACGTTTAGGAGACAAAGTATTGCTAATGCGGAAAATAATAAAATAGAGGAAGGATAAAATGCATATTTTGCCTGCAAATTTATGGGCTAAATATTCAATGCTATGGATAACAATCAATCTGATATGAAAACTGCAACTTACATGCAACTGAATGTCAGTGTGCTGGCCGGTGTAGATATACGGACTTGTATAGTTGGACGGAGGATGAGCAAATGCTTCGGCGTAACCATTTTCTATAAGGTGTCGATCCAGTTCTACAGGATCGCCAAGAATTTTCGTGGGGACTATTGGGGCTTGGCTGCCCAAATTCTGAAACAATAGGAATTGGTATATGTACAGTGTTACTCAAGTAACATTTTACCCCGCTATATTTTTCACTTTCGCAATTAGAAAAGAAAATGGTATAAGTCAAAGTTGTAATAAAATTTCTTGTGATGTCAAAACTGTTTTAAAAGCATTAAATGTTGCATTTTGAAGATACAAGCCAAACTTATATGGTTTTATCACAGAACTCCGAATTGTTTTTGTATTAAGGGCACTTCATTAAAATTATACCGGGTGTCCCATTTTAAAAAATACACGTGAATATCTCTTAAGAGCTTAATGAAAAAAATTTTCAAATAAAAGTTGTAGGGTTTTGAGGGGGACATCTAATGGTGACCTTGACCATGACCCTCAAGGTCTTTTGAAGGTCATTTTAGTTTTTGTTGCAAAATTCTATTTTTGAGACCAGAAATGAGAAGAACGGGCCATTTCACGTCCATCCATGATATTGACCTTGACGGTAATTTCAAGGTCAAGTTAATTTTTCAAATAGAAACCGGTATCTTTCAGACCAAAATAGAAAGTGCGGAGAATTTTGCTTCCGGATATAACCTTGATCATGACCATAAGTTTCAAAAGTCATTTGAAGGTCATTCCAGTATTTTGCAGGTAAAACTTTAATCTTGTTAATATTTTTCTTTTTGATATGTGGGGCTCGCCATAATTTTCCAGAATACCCATTAACCCTTTGCGGCATGAATTTTTTATTCAAATATTTTTGAACTCAGACTAGCTCAGAATTTAGTAATAGTTAAATCCGATACGGCGGATCCAATACGTCGAATACTCGGCTCGACCTTGAGTTTTAACGTAAGTTGAAGCACTTTCAAAGTGTTAATCCATATGAATATTAAAAATGTTTACCAAAAATTGATTGGCCATATTGGTTTTGAATATTTTCAAATTCTGACTTCGTCATAGAAAATGAGCTTTGAATTGTCAATAAAACTTATTTGTAGGAATTTTTATCTCTTTAAGCCAGAATTTCAAAATTTCAGAAGGCATTTGGAAAATTCCCATTTGTTGCGACAGCTCAGAAAACGCATTTCAATGCTATTTTTTATTATTCAAGAAAAACAGTTAGAACTAATATCTTCATAATGGATAGGATTTGCAAAAATAAGGCACACTACATTGATTTCTTTTTTATTCCGACTCTGCACAATTATTATTTGTTCTAGACCTATAACATTACCAATATTTTTTTTTAATAGGACGCTTTATATTTTATAGTGTATTTTATAGCCCTTCTAAAGATGAATTCAGTGATATAAGGAATTAAATGAAAACAATAATTTAGTACTACTTTTTATTTTATTACAGCAAATGTTCAAAGTGGCCCCCATTAACCATTGCACAATGCCCAATTCGGTGTTCAAAGTTATCAATTACATTTTGAATAACATTTGGTGTTATGTTTCAAACTTCTTCTCTGATACGATTTTTCAATCCTTCGATAGTGTCTGGTCTGTTCACATACACTTTACTTTTTAGATAACAGCACAAAAAAAGTCTAGTGGGGTTAAGTCAGGGGAGCGTGGTGGTCATTCGCGACCCTCTTCTGCCTATCCATTGATTTAGGAAAACTGCATGAAGGTAATTTCTTACATCGAGGTGAAAATGTGAAGGGACACCATCTTGTTGGAACCAGAGACATCACCAGCAGGCATATCGTGCTCATTAATTCCAGGGCAGGAATCAGCTGAAAACGCAAAAAATCCAAATAAATGTCTCCTGTCAAATTGTCATCAGAGAAATAAGTTCCCAATATGCGATTTCCTACTATTTTAGCCCAAACATTCACTTTGGATGTCGTTGTGTATGTTTTTTGAGCACCCAAAGCGGATTTTTTGGGCTCCAAAACCTAGTACCTATTTTCCCTGTTCTCGGTTCCGTTTAAGCAAAAAGTTGTATGCGGGAGCCAATGGCTCCATTTTTTGTGCGGACTCCCAACTGTGACATTCAAATGGCTACAGTAGGAAGCGACCTGCTAACTGCAGGTACTTTGTTGCACGACTGCCACCCACAGAGGGCGTAACACAATGTTTGACTTGTCAGTGCTGCAAGAAACAACTACTCCGAGAGCTATTTGCCCCTAGCGGCATTGAATTATACTCGCAACACCTAGTGCAACAGCTAGGATCGTTTGTCAGTTTACCCACCAGGCACAGACCGGTTTCGACAAGCAAAAAGTTGCTTCGTCAGTGAAAATTATGTGATTTTTTAAGTTGGATTGTATTTCAAATAAATTTCTAATTTCTTCACAAAACTGTAATCTTCTGTCTGTGTCATCTACGCGTAGTTCTTGTAAGACGTTAACTTTGTAAGAATGCCACTTTTGAGTCTTCAGAGTTCTGTGAACTGAGGACTTCGACAAGTTGAGGTTGGCTGAGATAGATCTAATGGACGAGTGAGGATTTTCGCTTACTGTTCCTCGTCTTCCTGATCCAGGTAAATCTATTATACTTTCCGTTTCTTCAAACTTTTTGGATACTTACTTATTGTAGCTCGACTAATTAAAATTAATTATTAAATAGTAGGTAAGTTTTTTAAAGTTCAGAAGAAACTATGTTGTTTGAAATAGTCGTCAGTACGAGCCAATTTTTTACATTTTTTTGACAACTATGACAAAAAGTAGGTATAATCTTATATCGCTGAATTCATCTTTAGAAGGGCTATATATTTAAACTATAAAATATAGGTCTGTCAAATTTGGCTCAAAAAAATAGAAAATATTGCAGAGTGACAATTTCTATTTACTAATTGACCTGTTTCAGCAATTTTTTTAAATCTAAATTGGAAAAAAATATGAATTTTGTTCCATCACTTTGGGATATAGTGTATAATATGTTCAATTATGTTAGATGATTCCAATTCAATTGCAAAAGCCTTTTTATAGTCAAATTAATGTGCGCTAAAACAGCAAAAACTTGTAATATGATATGACAGACACCTTATTTAAAACGAAATTCGTTTATGTTAGAACCAATTCCAAGAGAATCAATCAAGATTTAATCAAAACGGATATCGACAGAAAGAGAATAATGCACGACAAACTGAGGTAGTTCAAAAGGGTTGTCACGGACTATATTAACTTGTTTTTCATCATAACCAGTTGCAAACAACATGACACCAAATTCTATTTAGTACAACATTTTTTTTAATCATCATCAACTTCGTACCTTTTTTTAAATTAAGAATGGATTTAATTAGTAAATGCAAAAATTTACGATTTTGGATCGATTCAGATCGATCATCAGAAAGTGTTAATATTTTAAAGCAACTGTATCTACAAAGAAAAAATGATAAATGACAAATGATGAACCAAAATTTAAAACTTCGGCTACGTGAATCATTAATTATCTCGCAATTGTCGTATGTTATGTCCAAATCTATTACAAGAGATTTCAAAATTCGTGGTTACATTTTTCTTGTGGTAGTATTAGGTAGTTGCTAATTCATAGGCATTTGTTACTCGATTTTCAGCGAAACCAACATTTTGTATATTTGCATGAATAATCAACATTTCTGTGCCAAAGCCTGACAAGCCATTATATCCAAAACAATTATAATCTCTTAGCTGATATCCTACACTTCTCTATAATCGCTTAGAGACTTAGCGAATAGAAAAGATAAATTTAGTATGCCAGAGAGTCACTACTAAGCTGCCGTAATCTGTAATAATGCGTTAAAGTTGGCTGAAGTATATTTCGAAGCGAACTCAAACTTACTACAGAGTTCGTCGGAGAAACATTTGCATCCCAGGATACTTGATTAAATATCGACTTTTACAGTCGCTTGTCTAAGTCTACTAGATACAGAAGATAGGAGCTTTATTTCCCATCAGGTTGTATATGAATACAATATTGTGTTATTATTCGTTGTTGTTAAGGGTATTTTATTACTTCTGAAAATGTAATTTTAACAAAAACAAGTTATACATTTAGTTAGGTAGGTATGTTTCATAAAAAGGTTTCTTTATGTGGGATGTAGGTTTTTTCATTACAATCATGTTACCAGAATGTAGCATTTTCATTGCAACGTCCTAAAATTGTATCTTTACTGCGAAAGAGATAAAGGGGATACAGCAGAAAGGAAATTAGCGAGTACTTTTCTAATTCAATTTTAAAAATAAATCTGGGCTACTCCAATTTAATACAGAAAGAATTATTAACTCGTTTGTTTTTAGAGAAAAATGTTTTGCAGAATAATGATAAAAGGTAATAGAAAACATTTTATGAATATTATAAAAGTAAAATGTATGTGCAGTATTGTAGAGGGTGTTCAAATTTGAACTTTTTAATTCTTTAATAAAACATATAATTTATTCTAAATATAACTAGATATCTTTATTGAATATTAAAGCAGACATATTGCGGTTAATAATGGAAAATAATGTCAGATTAGTGACCACCACTTGCAGTTTTACAAGTGTTCAATCTTTTATAAAAATTTTCCATCACATATTCACATAATAGTGGCTAAATTTGAGTGATTTGCTCAATTATGTTTTCTAGCAAATACTGAATGGTTTGAGGATTGTCAGCGTTAACTTTGCTCTTCAAAAAAAAACATAAAAAGAAGTCTAATGGTGATAGATCGGGTGATCTTGGTGTCCAACCAAATTTCTGTTTCAAAAGATGAAACCACATCATCCATAGATTAATACGTTCCATTCATCCCAAAAAGTCATCATCGTTCGATATCGAGCACCATTTACAGTGATAATGTTTCCAGATTCATTTTCGAAGAAGTATATGGACAAAAACCACACCAAACTTTTTGTGGATGCATTGTGCAAAACCGTACTTATCTTATCAACTTCGACGTCACCTGTTACATGAGTGTTGTATAATAATGAAAAAGTAATATTAACGGTCGGTAGAAGGAAGCACAAAAAACAAGCACTTAGGTAGGGAATTCTGGAAGGAAGCCTGAATAGTCGAAGATAGGCAGTTGAAGTGAGAACAGCGCGGAGTGAAAAA